TCCTACTTTCATACAGTGTTCTATAGGCAGAGAAAAATCGCAGCATTAGTGCCTGTGCTGGGTTGAAACAAAGTAGTTTAAATCGGAAGGGTAACATATTGAAGCATACAAGAGTATTTCTTAAAAAACAAACAAACAACAAAAAAACCACCAAAAACAAAAACAAAAAAAAGATTAGTACTGTATTTAAAAGACCCCATATACTCTATAATTCAGGAAGAACTTCAAAACAGAAGCTAACAGTAATGGTCCTAGAGACAAAACCAAGGAATTTCAAGCTCTTCTAATCAGTATGGTCAGCCTACAGCTATAACAAAAACAGTTTGACAATGGAAATGTTTTCCAACCTGATCACACCCTCTTAACTTTTCATAAGGAAACCTTTTTCTGACTCACTAACTTAAATCTGGGAATAGCAGGTTGGAAGTCAGTATTATAGATAGACACCACCATCCCTCCCCTCCCCCAAAAGAGAAAGAGTCCCCAAACACTATTACCTGTACAATTCGTATGAGATGAAAAGATGTTTAAAAGGCCATACAGTTGGAAGCTGGACAGGAGTCTCCTACAACACTGACCACAGCTGATGGCAAAAGAGTTTTAAACGACACAAAGCTGGATACCCAGAGCAAATGTGCTATTTTCTTTTTTTTTGGTTGAAATGCTATTTTCAAAAATGGTCCAGAAAGCACATTCTATTTTTTCCTCTTTAAAACTGAAAATAAGAACTCGATCACTGGATGGAGTAGTCTCTCAGAAGCAATGGGAAAAATTACTTCTTGGTCACACACAGCTGTCTTTGTATTACTGTAGAGTGGATTCCACTGGTTTCTCTTACGGCAAATTCACTCTCCTTTCAAAGTTCACACAACACCTTTCCACAAAATATACAAAGGCAAATTTCTATTCAGAAAAATCTCAGTGAAATATATTAGTTATTTGGCTACCTAATAAAATTGGGTTTAGCCCCTCTCTCAGAGATAAATGCACTCTCATACCTGCTTTCACAACCCCTTGCTTTCCTGCTGCCAGTTATACCTTTCCTCTTCCTCCTGTACATTATCCAAACACTTGTCTTTGTCTGGTATGCCATAGGGACATTTAATCTTCCCCTTGAAACCCTGGCAGACTATCCAGGTCCTTTTCCCTATGATCATTCCTGTAGAAAACAGCTCTGCTCAGCCCAGAATTCAGAAACCCCACGTCATGATGCATTTCCTTGTCTTATCAAGCATATGTTTCACCAGGGGCAATCATGGTTCAATAACCAGATGCAAGTGTAAGTTTCTGTTAAATACATGCAGAGTCTCCAAAAATCAGTAATATAATATTCTCTTCTAGTTTTGCAATATGCTCCACGCATCTGCATCACCTATGTGACCATTGATTTTGCGTACTTATTTTCTTACAGGAGCAACCTTTCATAGGAAACATCTGTTGTATGAAAAAAATGAAAAAACACACACAAGCTTCTCTTTCCTAAATCCTGCTGTTGTTCACTGGATGCCGACTATCGCAGTGAAAAACCAAACATGGGAATAGAAGGGAGTTCCTGGGACTTTAAGCACTGTCCTGCACTACTGGATGCTTCCGTAATGCTGTTCAGGTGTCAGATTTCTCCTCTGGTTGGAGGGCTCCTCCATTTAAATCTCCATTTAAACAGAGACAGCATCTGGTTTCAGTTCACAGAAATAAAAACTGTATGTCACAATTCACAGCAGAAATTATCTAACCCAGAAGTTCCTCAAGTTTCTCTCATCCACACAAACCTGGAATAACATTACCCATCCTTTGACCCCTCAGAATGAAAAGATTAAACAAAGAAGAATCAATTAATGACAGTTTTGTGTTATTATACCTTTAGCATGAAAGGCAAGAAAAACAAGATAAGCGCAGTTATGAAAAGCCTCAAACAGATCAAATTTGTTCAGGACAAGTCAAAACCTCTGATCCCCCTAATGACTCCTCCTCTTCAGCACCAAATTCATGCTTAAGTAACAAAGTCAAGTACTCAAAAGTTTACTTGCTTACCTCAACTTCAACCAAGTCTCTCTGGGGTTGATCTCCAAAACAGAGATTCCAACAAGATGGTATCACAGCTACTCTGGGAGCAGAACAGAGCTTTTCTAGTTCTATTTTAATAGTTCCCAGACCGGCAAGTACAGTGAAAACAAGAGTGTAAGAAGGAAAAGAAAAAGGTGGGGGAACAGAGCGGGGCAGAGCAGGAGAAGGGATTTTTACATTTTGTTTCCAAATACAAATGCGTTTTTGATGAGATTTGTGCTCTGTTCCAATTCACCTATCATTCCTGATTATTTCGACAAGCAAAAGCCAAGGTTACTCAACTCCTTACTGTTCTAATTTAAAGCAGGAAGAGTGTGTAAAGCATAACCTTAAAAAGCAAAATCCCATCTTCACTCTGAAAAGTACAATATTGAGCTCTCGAAGAGTAAGGACTTGCTTGCAGTACACTTGGTCTGTCTTTTTTCACAACATTGCTGGTTGGTACTGTACCTTTCAGCAGTGCTGTCAATTATTTGAGAAGTGCCTTCATCATAAAATATGCTATATAAATGTTAATTATAATTACTATTCTCTTGTGTGTGACTCAGTTATTGGACTCTTTTTCTTGTAAATGTCGTGGGATCTCCTCTAAAGGCCTTCAGGAAAAGAGAGATGCCAAAAAACATTCTTTTAGATGTGTGGCTTAAAAAAAAAAAAAAGAGAGAAAGAAGAAAAAAGAAAATCTTAACTCCACTTTCTGAGAGTCTGCAATTACTTCTTCTTTCCCACTCCCTCACTCTTGCTTTGACAAGCAAACATTTGAACTCCCATGCTATCAAAAATACAGGGTTGCATGCCCATTTATTAGTCAAAAGGTAAGATGTATCTCATTTAGTAGCATAAAAATAACAGACAATGTCAGTGTGTTCTAGTATCCTGATCCTAACCTGAGTTCCAGATTTCCAAATGAATGGGATCAGGGACAAAGTGAAAGTGAGAAAAATTAGTCAAAAGGGATGGACAGAACAGCTGGTTCTTGTGACATTTTGTAACATAGTTCATCAAACTGTTCCAGCACTTGCTCATTTGACATAATTTTAGACAGCGACTCATCTTTACTAGCAGGCTGTGCATTTCACCAAAATTCTGCGTGGCACGGAGTGTGGTGACAAAAGCATTTATTTAGCTTCTGGATGAATTTATTAACTTACCTTATTGTTCCCTTTGTAACTCAAACACCATAGTAAACTCACTTCTGCAGTTTCAACAACATTATCATGACCTGCTACATGCAGAACCAGTGTGATCCCAGCTTTTCAACTCTGACACTCCTGCCCGATCTCAGTATTTTGTATTGTTTCTTTTGGGCTTTATTTTCCCCTTTTTTAGATATTTCTTAACAGACAGGTTTTAAAAGACTCCAAGGAAGGAGTCTGCACAGTCTTACTAGGCTCCTGCTCCACTGTCTGTCCATCCTCATGGTGAAAAAATTTTTCCTTTATAATAATCTAAACCTTCCTTGTTTCAACTTGTGTCCGTTTTCTCTCATGCTCACACTACACAACACTGTGAGGAGCCTAGCTCCATCTTCTTGGCAACCTTCTCAGAAGCACAGGGAGGGCTGACGTTAGATCCCCTGAAGCCACCTCTTCTCCTGACCGAATAAGTCCCATTCCCTCTGCCTGTCTTCACAGGGCAAGCGCTCCAGACCCTGACCAGCTTGGTTGCCCTTCACTGGACTTGCTGCAGTTTATTGATGTCTGTCCTGTGTCTGGGTGTGGGGTGAGAGACCAATACCAGCCACTAGCTAGGTATGTGGTCCAACAAGGGGTGAGTAGTGGGGGACAATTACTTCCCTCAATCTGCTGGCCATGCTTCTGTTCATACAGCCCAGGACACTGTTGACCTGCCTTGCTGCCAAGGCCCACTGACGGCTGCTGTGCAGATTTCTGCTCGCCAAGATCCCCAAGTCCTTTTGAGCAGAACTGCTCCCCAACCAGTCAGTCCCCAGCCTGTATCATTGCAAGGGTTATTTCCACCCAGATACAGGACTCCACAGATGTCCTTGTTGAATTTCATTATGTTCCTGTCAGCTCATTCCTCCAGCCTGCCTAGGTCCCTCTGAATGGCAGCCCTGCCCTCGAGAGTCGTCCCGATTTTGTATCATCTGAAAACCTGACAAGAGTCCACTGTCACCTCATCCAGGTTACTGACAAAGATGATAAAAGGACAGGTCCTAAGATAAGCATCTTTGGTACTCCATTTGTTACCATCATCCAGGTAGCATACGATCCATAAACTACTGCCCTCTGACCCCAAGCATCCAACTACTTACTTACCCAGTTAGCTGATCAGACTCTGCATGAACCACTTTAATTTATGGAGTATACATCTATTTACTACGTGTGCTACAATATATATTTCAAAACATTATCAAGAAAACAGCTTCTTTGAGCGAGTACTCAATACATTTAATATTTCTTTGAAAGGTTTCTTGTCTGAAGGCTTCCCCTTTGTTGTTACATCTTAACAGAAATAAGTCTGCCCAACCTCATAGAGGTCCTATAGCAAAAACCTAGCCTGTCCTTTGAAGTACTATGCAATTACTTCGGGCTGAAGACACTGCTATCTGTGAAGAAAACTACCTTCATCTGTTCTACCATCAACACATTCACGCCACTTGAGATAATTAACACAAACACAGCCTCTCTATTACTGGATTACTCCGCAACATTCCTTCCAAACATGTTCTGTCGATGCCTTTCCTGCCATCATATCTCTAAATACTTATCACTGTCTGTTAAAACAGAATCCAATTAAGCTGACATGCAGGCAGAAGCAAAGAGCAAAACATAGAAAGGCATGTGAGAGTAACGAGCTCCAGAGTAGCCACATGAATCAAAAATATCTTAGAAAATATCAATTTTCCTGTGATTCAAATGAATTCAGGATAGCCTAAATTATTCTAGTTTATAACTTAATTACTCTAAACATGCCTGAAATGTGAACAAAGACATTAAGCACCAGTTCTGTCTTAGGTTGCTTTGGAAGACGGGCTTCGTAATCCATGCCGCACTGAGCCTCAGTCTTTCAATATTCCATTACAATCTTCCACCACAGAAGCCAGTCTCTCCTGGTCTCTTTCAGCCTCTCTCTACCGTGTCTTCTGATTTGTGAAGATAATGCAAGATCACAGTCCAGATTAGTGTACTCAGATGTGACGTCTGGAGTCTATTACTACACACTCAGACAGGGTACAGAATGTCTGTTTTTACATTTAGAACATGAATGTTGATGCCAATGGCAATTTTATTATGAAGAAGAGATGTCTGTCTTTAGCACAGATAGGCGGGAGCGCCCACCTCCGATATATGAGGTGATATAAGATAATAATGAAGCCCTAATGACTGACTGCTTTGATGTTTGCCAGGTTATACTATAACGGGTTTGTACAGGAATGAATTCCACATATCTCTAGTACAGACTTAGTTTAGTTCAGTTATTGCCACAGGACAAACTACTATGCCGTAAAGAACGGCACCCCTTCCTCACGGCTCGGTCACATCCTAAGCAAGTCCTGCCGACTTCTTCCTCCTCGAAATCACCTCCAGGAGGCAGAACATGCTTCCTTATTTCTCAGCCCACCCACAAACTTTCCCGTGCCCTAGGCCCGTAACTCCGGACTGTCCCTCAGCTGCTCGGAACAGTGTCCCCCACTTCCCACCTGACACCTCCACACACCCCGCTCCCCCTAACCCGGGGCACTCCCGACACTCCACCAC